AAAACCAAGTGAAGACATTTCACACGTGAGATCTCTCAAATCTACAATGAAGTGATAATTCTTGTACTAATTACACTTCTTATGTAGTTTTGATGAAGCTGGATAAAACTGATAACAAAATATCCAACTAAATTTAACACACACACACACACACACACACACACACACACACACGAACAAACCAACCCAAAAAACAAAAAGCAAATAAGAATGAAACAGAACCCTCAACAGGTCAGTTACACTGATGAATATAAATGTTGACATGTCTTAAAATTAATACAGTGGATACAGCAGCATGTTACAAATTAAAACACCACTATCAGATGAGCTTTAATCTAAGATTTATGGTAGGATATTTAATATTATAATTTAATAACTATACTCCTTCAGTTTAGAAAGAGGATGACAAAATGTCTCTAGAAATGCCAAGAAAGCATTTGATCCGCATCTGCCTCAGAAAGCAAGGCTTATAAATAAACTAGGAATGAATAAACTTCTATAACATAATAAAGCATATCTGTCAAAAATTAATAGCAATTATATTAATGTTGAAGCACAGTGGCCATTTCCATTGCTATTCAGGTTCTTGGGGTGGTGACAATGTCTTATTCATTGTAGCCTCCCTACCTAGACAATTTCTAACTGAATTTATTGATTTTATAAATGAGTTATGAAATCCATATTAGAGCAAGAAACATCCTATTTTTCGATAAGTGGTAAGACTAGTAATGGGTATTATATAACCATGTTCTCTGAATATCACTAAACATTTCTGGCTTTTATAAGCCTTCTTGAATCAGACATCTGCTGTTGCATTTTCTTACAGTTTGAGAAACAAACACATTTATATTAGGGTTGGCCCTGTGTTAGTTTCCTAGGGCTGCCATAACAAAGTTCCACAACTGGTGTGGCTTAAAACAATAGAAATCAATGATCTCACAGGTGTCTGGAGGCTGGAATTCAGAGATCAAGGTGTGTTCCCTTTGAAACCTGTAGGGGAGAAATCCCTGCTCACCTTTTTTCTGGTGGTTCGCTAGCAATCTTTAGCATTTCTTGGCTTGCAGCTACATAACTGTAATCTCTGCTTTTGTCATCACATGGTGTTGTCCTTGTGTGTCTCTGTCACATCTCTGGACATCTTATAAGGACACCAGTCATATTGGGTTAGGGGCCCATCCATAATAATGAATTACATCTGTAATGACCCTATTTCAAAATAA